TTCTTTGGAAATGATATTTGCCTATTTTAATATGATGCTATAAGAATTAATGAGTCAGTATCTCTAAAATATGATAGCTTTTAAGATCTCTTTATATAGAAATGAATGGTATGTGACAAGATATTATTGGTCAATTTGGTTGATCACATGAATAAAATGTGCTGAAATATTTTGGAGACTGAAAATAAAATTTAGACGCAAGAAAAATATTTTAAATAAACATGGTAAACAGTTTTTTCATCCACGTCTAATCATGTTGAAATATTTTATTACTATCCCCAGAGAATTCATAAATTAGTGAGTAATTTTTTTTAATGCAGAGTTAAATACCTAGAAACCATATATACACTTAAAGTAAAATCTCACAGCATTCTCAAGGCCATTTTGCATTTACTTCTGCCGCAGCAGTGACAATACAGTGAGCTGCAGTAACCTGAAATAGTACTGCATGGATGCTCTAATAAATTACATATGTTTCATTATGGAATTTTATAACTGTTTATACCTTTTATTTAACCAATTCACAGATCAGATTATAGGATATTTTTCATTTAATAAGTATACTAAGTACATACCTTATACCATTGAGTTTTGATAGTATAAGAGGGAAAAAAGAAAAAAAGCAAGGCCTCTCTATCTTTAAGGCACTGTTTAACAGTCATCTTGATTGAGAAGATCCATTTGTTTAATATAATGAATTCCACACAAATTGCCTATTAAAAAGTTCTGAAAAACTAGAGGTGAGATTGAATATAGCAAAGCTTTATTGTTGATTTTTCTGTTGGACAGGGTAAATTTGTCAACATTTTACATTGTAAGCTATGTCAAAATATATTTGTATGCTCTGTTAGATATAGGGAACATAATATTTAATTTAAACTCTAGATTACCATCATTTATAGGCATTCTATGCATTAAACTGTTTTGCCTTTTCTTTATTCTTCAGTAACACCTTTAGGGCCTTTTGCTGCATTGTAAAGAAAAGGCAATTGTGAGCTGCTGGCTCTAGCAAATCAGAGCTAATCAACCTGAGGATAATGTCTGCACTTTCCCACTTCCAAGTCTTTGCTCAAACTGCTCTCTACCTTTGCTACCACAGGTTTCTAAACTCTCTCTGACTAGCCCTGAGCTTACTTTTTACAACTCTCACTGTCTACTGTCTCCTTCATCTTGAATATACCAGGACAGACTGGGAAGTTCTGGAAAAAAAAAAAAAAGGAGACGTAATACTTAAGTCATCTTTGTTACCTATTTTCTCTTCACTGCCAATTAATTTTTAATTTTTTGTTTTATTTAATTTTGTAAAGACAGGGTCTTGCTATGTTGTGCAAGCTCCTCTCAAACTCCTGGACTCAAGTAATCCTCCCACCTCAGCCTTAAAGTGCTAGGATTACAAAGCGTGAGCCACTGTGCCTGGCCATAATTTAAATAATCCTTTAGATTCCTGTCTCTGTCTGTTTTCAGAGCCAGGGTTACGCTATATTCATGATGCACACCACTGCCAAAACAGTCTTCCTGAAGTACTAATTAGATTTTTGAGCAGAGGATGATAAGACCATCCTTTCCAGTGTTGGCAAATACTCAATGTACTGTCCTGAAATACCTGTAGTACTTCCAAGTTTCTGCTTTCTGCTCACACTGTTTTCTTTGACCTCAAATGCAATTTCCACCTATAAAAATCTTAGTCATTATGAGGCCTTGCAAAGATCTTTTCTCTTCTATGAAGTCTTTTTATCAACCCTAACTAAAATCTCTTCTCTGAGTTCCCAGCTTATACTGCTTAAGCTGGTGCAAGACTTCAGTGATCTTTAGAAGAAAGTGGGAGGTTATTTTCCCAATGAAATTCCAGGAAAGTTTCATTTCTTATAGTTAAGTCCCCTTTAGCATTCCACATATAGTTAGTGCCCAAATATTTGATTATTGCTGTACTCACAATTTTTGTGTGTGTGAAATTGTTAGCTATTCTCTACCCGAGAAATAATGAAATGTATAAGCTTCTTCAACTCTTTGCTGAGGCCAGGGTCTCTTACTTATTTCTGTATCCTATCTACTTTGAATAGGGTCGTCGGAAAGCAGCCATTGGCTTTGGGGATAAGTTGTATGTATTTTGGAGGAGGAAGTAAAGGTGTTACTTGACTTTTAAAACGGAAGCTTTTTCTGTTTTAAAGTATTTTGCTTCCTGTTTCTGTATTTATAAAATGATATTGGTATATGTAGTATCTTGGCTATTTATTTCCCTTTCTCTTTAATACAGTGTTCTCGAACTTTGGTGTGATACTGAATTAGAATCTCTGGCAGTGTGTTCCTGGACTCTACACTTTTACTAAGAATCAGTTGAGATGCTTATGAAGGTGGTGGTAGTAGTGATAATGATAGTGATGGTCATGATTGTAAGAGCTCTGCTTTTGAAGGCTTATGATGTGCTTAGTGCACTTTTCTGGGCAGTTTGCAACTGTTAACCTAATGTTCACAGCAAGTCTATGTGGTAAGATGCTATTACCTTCATTTTACAAATGGAGAAACTGAGGCAGATATAAATTACGTTAGTTGCCAAAACAGCTTTCTTACAAGCATGTCAAGAATCCATGAAAAGGATGAGGCATATATTTTGGTTGATAGTTTTAAAACTCGCTGTCTAAAGGATTGCTTTAAGTAATGTGAATAATATGAATGTAAACCGGTTCTTATATAAATTGAAATATCAATATGCTAACTTTTTATGGAATACTTCAACAACTAGACCTAAATATAGATGTTTGCTCTTGCTTTTAGGAAGCCTGTCACAATTCTTGGTGAAAAAGTAGGCATGCACCCACAAACCTAGAACATTGAGGAATATTTTAGAATAATTACACTTTCCAAAAAACTCACATGATTTTAGGAAGACTGTGCTTTACTATATACTATATATATACATACATAGACATACACACATGTAGATGCATATATAGTTACTCTATGGGTGTGTGTGAGTTAGCGTTCAGTATCCTCAGGTGATTGGTACCAGGACCTCCCTCAGATTCCAAAATCCAAATACTGTGGCATGGTATTTGCATATAACCTATGCATATCCTCCCATATAGTTTATTTACTTATTTATTGAGACATGGTCTTGCTCTGTCACCCAGGCTGGAGTGCAGTGGTACGATCATGACTCACTACAGCCTCAGCCTCCTGGGTTCAGCCAATCCTCCGTCTTCAGCCTCCCAAGTAGCTAGGACCACAGGCACATATCACCATGCCCAGCTAATTTTTTAACTTTTTTGTAGAGATAGAGTTTCATTGTGTTTTCCAGGCTGGTCTTAAACTCCTGGGCTCAAGCAGTCCTCCTACCCTGGCCTCTCAAGTGTTGGGATTACAGGCGTGAGCCACTGCACCCACCCATCCTCTTGTATACTTTAAATCATCTCTAGTTTATTTATAATATTTAACCCAATATAAATGCTATGCAAATAGTTGTTATATTGATTTTTATTTGTATTATTTTTTGTGTTTATATTTTTTCCTGAATATTGTGTGTGTGTGTGTGTGTGTATTGAGATACTATTTTGTGATCTAATGTAATTCACGTAAAACTCCGTAAGCATATATTTTTTGTTTTAGTAGCATAAGATAAGACTTGGTTTTAATATGTATGCTAAAATATTTTATTATCTTTTTAATAATAAAAGGTAAGAATATTTTATTCCCTTTTGGTTCATAGACTATGGGAAGTGGAGTAGGGAGTGTAAGTGGTGGCTGTAGTGGTGGTATGGTGGAACTAATTTGTTTAACATCACTGCCTGTCCAAAAGAGTTTTGATGAATGATTTTAGGTGTTGTCTAATAAGTGCTCTGACTTTTGAAACCAGTTGAACTAGCAAGCATGTTGTGCTTTACTAGAAACATGTAAGTTCTGACTCTGAGTAGACAATGGAATCTAAATTGAGTTAGTGGAGGACATATCTTTACAACTAAATCTAAATTGTTTTAACTATTTCTTTTTTAATCTCGTTTATTTTTCTTGTAAAATTAATATTTTTGATTGACCAATCATAGTTGCATACATTTATGACTTACAATGTGATGTTTTGTTATATGTATTCAATGTGATGTGCTTAAAGCATGCTAATTAACATATCTGTCACCTCACCTATAATATTTTATAGTGAGACATTTGAAATTTACTTTTATTATTTCAAAATACTTAATACATTATTATTGACTGTTGGCAACTTGCTATGCAGAAGATCTCAAACTTATTCTTCCTCTCTACCTGAAACTTTGTACTGCTTGATCAACTCCCCCACCACCTTCTAGCTTCTGGTAACTGTTGTTCTATTCTCTACTTCTGTGAGTTTAACTTTATTAGATTCCACGTATAAGTGAGATCACATGGTATTTGTCTTTCTTTGCCTGACTTCTTTCACTTAGCATAATATCCTCCAGATTCATCCATGTCGTTGCAAATGACAGAATTTCCCCCTTTTTAAATGCTGAATTGTTTTCCATTGTGTGTATATACATTTCCTTTATTCATTTATCCACTGATAGACACATAAGTGTTTCCATATCTTTTCTATTATAAATAATGCAACAATGAACTTATGTGTGCAGATATCCCTTTGACATATTCACTCCAGTTCCTTTGGATACATAACCAGAAGTGGGATCAGTGGATCATAACAGTTCTATTTTTAGGTTTTTTGGGGGAAATCTCCATACCATTTTCCATAATGGCTGAACTAATTTATATTCCCACCAACAATGTACTGTTTAAGAGTCTTTTCTCCACACCCTGTGCAACATTTACCTTTAATCTTTTTGATAAAAGCTAGCTTTTATCAAAAGATTGGACAGGGTGTAAAGTAATATCACATTGTGGTTTTAATTTGTAATTGTCTAATAAGTGATGCTGAGCATTTTTTCATGTACCAATTGGCCATTCGTGTGTCTTCTTTTGAGAAATGCCTGTTCAAGTTATTTGCCCATTCTAAAAAATTGGGTTATTTGTTTTCATGTTATTGAGTTGGATTTACTTAAATATTTTAAATATTAATCCCTTATTAAATATATGATTTGCAGATATTTCTTTTTATGTTTCCTATTTACAATTTTTCTGGACTTCTCTTGCTGCTCACTTATATAGAGTTGGGATGAGTTATGTCACCTGAAGCAGTTAAGATAAGACTATTTCTACTGCTATCCATGTGACAGGCTTACTTTGTTACATAATCCAGTGAAAAACAGGATATATGAAAAAGGGTGTGAAAGAAAAATAGATGTGATGCCATGGAGCATTCTAGGGAGTTAGAACTCTCTCTTTTTTAGAGAGAGTTTTGATAAACATTTTATATATTTTTAAAACTCATGTTCTTAATCTGCAGAGTTGGATATAAGACTGAGTGTCTGTCTTAAAGCTAATAGTATAAAAAGAGAAGTATAAAATTTAAGTCATCATACAACTTTCTTTCCCTAACCTAACTTTATGAATTAATTGTTTGCAATTTCTGGAGCTAATGAGCTGAATGTTTAAAATTTAGCATGTAGGTTAAAAAATTGAAATTTTCCTAATACATTTATATCTCTTTCTAAGGTATAACTATTTCTTTCTTTGATTATAGTACAAGGAGCATGTATGGTTCTTAAGAGGCCTTGATTTTGCTGCCAGCTAGTTATGTGACTTTGGGCAAATAATGTCATATGGCTGGACCTGTTTTTTCATTTGTAAAATTGTAGATGGTGATAAATCCTAAGACTGTTTTTTAAAATTTTTTTGTAGAGAGTGGGTCTAGCTTTGTTGCCAAGGCTCATCTGAACTGATTTCAAGCAGTCTTCCCCACCTTGACCTCACAAAATGTTGGGGTTACGGGCGTGAGCCACCATGCCTGGGCGAATTCTAAGACTCTTATAATGGATGAGTAGAATATATTTAAGATTCTATAAACACACAAGTCATTTGTTGTTCATCATCTGCTGGAATGTGAAACCATCTTTCTTGTGTAGGTGTGTTATCAGTAATGTTATTCACACCAAGGGGATCATTCTGTGCTTTTTAATTCGTGATTTTATAATCTGATAGTGACTTTTCATTATGACTCTTGTATTTCAAATTAAATTACTGCCATTATGATGGGAATTATTGGGAAGAGTTGAAATGAACATATTTAGAATTGCTTCTGTAATACTGCAAACCCGATACTTTGTGGGGGAGGTGGAGGAGATATCTCTATGTTCTGTAATTTCATTTGACTAAGGAATTTATCTTTGATCTTCTTCCAGAGTGAGGACATGAATACTTACAGCTATATTCCATATTTAATCACAGTTTGCTTAGTGGGTTTCATTAGGCTAAATAAGAAAAATGTAGTTGTGTATTTTCTGCTTTAAAAATGCTTCTTGATACAAAGTCTTCTCAGATCAGTCTCACATGTGATAAACCTATTCAAACTATTAAACTGCTCCAATGTGCTTGTTTCTCTCTTGGAAATCTATCCATTTATGTGTCTTTATGTACCACTCATTCTCCCCCATCATGTTTTATGTTATAAGCTCCTTGAAAAAGAAGCATAACCTTTCCATTGTATCTCATAGCACCCAGGAAAGAACTTCGTTAGTCTCTGAATAGTTGATAAGTGTTATTCCTATTGAGGATTTTGGATTTAAATTATTGGAGTGAATAGAATAATGCTGTTTCTAGTATATCTAACTGAGGGTCAGTGTTATTAACTCAAAGGCATGGCAGTTTTATTAAGCTCTAGGCTTTGTTTCTGAAGGCAATTTCTCTTAATTCAATCATAAGCAGATTGTTCACTTTATATTCTCTTATATAATGGCTTGGTGTCAAGTTATTGGTAGGTAAACATCAGGATATATGTTGGATAGATGTACATGCATGTGTACACATGCACATGTGTGTGACACAGAGAGAAGGATTACACGTAGAATATATGATAATTTGAGGTATGTGTAATGTTTATAACTCAACTGAGTCCTATAGAGCTATCTAGTTATATGCACTTAATTTTGGATCTTTTTATAGCTGAAATTCAGAACCAATTTTTAAGGAAGATAAAGACATGTTTTTCTTTCCTTTCATGTTTTCAGTTTAGCTTTGATTTTATTTTTGCTAAAGACTTAAATTATCAACAGTAACTATTGAAATGGGCCAACTTATAGCTGAGCACAAATTATGTTAGGGCACTGAGATATATCTTAACAACATTTGGGAACAATTTAATGTGTCTAATATTTGAGAAGGGTCAAAACAGACTGTACTACCCAATCATCATAAAGCCTGTGGTCAAAAATCATATATAATTGGCAGACTCTATGAAGAGTAGCTCTAAGAATCAAGAGAGAAAGAGCCTAAGTTGGTACAGAAAAGGAGCTGAGTCATTTTTGCCCTATAATTAGAAGTTGGTAACCGTAAATTTTGTCTTCCCAATACAAGAAGTATCGTGATCAGGCAGGATTACTCTAAAATGTAACCTCTGACTTCTTGTGGTATGTTACAAGCAGTTGATGATTTAATAAACAGGTAATACTGTCAGAGTGTCTCCAGACATTACAGTTAGCTTTTAGGTGAAGGCAGTGCTTGACAGAACTTACGTTTGTGACTCCATAATTTATTATGTCATCTATTACCATCCTTGTCATGTATTAATTTGGGTTTTAGGATAATTGGGGTAACTTTTTGGTGAGGGATTGAAATTTTCTTAAAAGCGTTTTCAGAAGGTACCAGAATGCTATGGGATTTTGTTATTATAGCATGTCTTCTCAAATATAATATTAGGACTGCTTGAACAGGAGGTAAATCATATTCTTTTTATTTTTCCAGTTTAGAGTTATTGCTCATTATCATTTGGTGGGTGTGGGAACAAGTTAATAAAGTTTGGGTAATTTAGTTTTCAGTTTAAATTCTCAACTGGCAATTGGCCGAAAACTCCCATCTGAAGACATGATCATCCAAATGTCATTTTGTGATTTGGCTACTGTCTACTTGACATAGGAAAGCACTATCAAGAAAGACTAATGGAGTGACTATCAAAAGGAAGTCAATGGTAAGAGTTTTCATTTAAATTATGTGTGTGTGTGTATGTGTGTGTGTGTGTAAGACCTACCAGTTTATTATATTTGAATTAAAATTTTAGAACTTTAAAAATCTAAGACATAATGACAAATTTTTGAATTTTATATGTCTGTCACTTATATTTTAATAAAACAGATGCAAAGAATGTTTTATAGATAAGCAAGAGATTTTACATATTTAATGCTGATAAATAGTATAAAAGTATGGAAAATTAGTTATATAGTTCATATGTGGTTTAAAATGTCAATTTTTATAGTTTTGTTGCAGTTATTTAAAATAGTGTATTACAAATATTGCTTGACCAAAGTTTAACTTTTAAAAAATGTATACTAAACTGAATTTTTCTGTTCAGTTTCATAAGTGCTTCTTAAAGTAGACATCATAAATCTTATAGTAGTCTGTTGAATTGTTTTTTTTTCTTTACTTTCACTGTAAAATAGGAGGAAAGAAAAAAATATAGTATTATATGACAGAATCTATTTAGTTTAACATAAATTCTTTAGAAATGTATAATTGCTACTATACTTTGGTGGAAACTATTAAATTTGTAAGATAAGATGTTTATACTGTATACCCAAAACAAAGTGGAGTAGCTGTTCATAGTATGGCACAGAATCAAATTTTGATGATGAAATCAGACATCTGTCTCCTGCCTTACGCATGTTCCCACTGAGAAAATAATTTCTAAATTTGGCTACATTTTCATATGCTTCAAATGACCTTAAATTTATATTTTTCTCCTGAATATAATTGATTCCTGCATATTCCTTTTTGTGGATGTCTGTATCCAACGAGATCCATGATTAGTTAATGTTAACTTTGGACAAGAATGGAGGTGTAGGATCTTAGAAAGTTTGAAATCTTTAAGATTGATGTTTACCTGAGCTTATTTCCAGTGTGTCCACGGGCATAGTAGTTTTATGATAACAAGATAATAGCTGATGAAGATTAGCACGTTAATAATAGATTATAATTCTGTTAACCATTCTGTTGTCAACTGTGTGATTTTTGCGATTGACATAGTTTGAGTAATTTTTCATGCCCAATTAGAGATGGCAAAATTATGTTAATTGAATTTGACCATGTTCTTAGCTGTTTTCTAGAGCTTAATAGCAAACATATCAGGAAGAGTTCTTGTGACAAGCACCCAGCACAGCATCTTTCATTATGTAATTATTCCAATGTTTACAGTGAGCTAAGTACTTGGGATGGCAACATACATACTTTAGTCCACCTGTCCAGTAATTTTTATTTGTATAGACTGTCTACTATGTGCCCTCCATTTAGGTAGGTGCTGAGGATAAAATGGTGGGGTTAAAAACAGATATTCCCTAACTGTTCTTGAACTTCCACGGCCAGCGATAATTACAGTGATGATATAATTACACACTGCAACTGGAACCAATTACAATGAAAAGGCATGAGTTCCTATGAGGGTAGGAACAATAAAGCTATTTTATGAATAAAGCACAGAACCCACAGATTTATTTATTAGAGTAAATTGATAACTTGCTTTTAAACTTTTAAGGTTAATAATTCTATTAATATTTGCTAAGCCAAGCATCAGAAAGACTGAATCCTAACCATGGAGAAATAGATTTTTTTTATGCTGCTATTCTATTTTCTTCGATTTCTTGAGAATTTACAACAAAGCCCTGTCAAAGCAGGGCTTTGTTGTAAATTTCACTTATGGGAGAGTTCTTAGAGGATTTCAGGAATGAATGACTTAAAGAAGGACACTGATTTCCTCAACTGAATTTAAAATTGTTACATGCAGACATTTTTAAAGGTAGTATGATTTCCTTAATCAAATCAACTTTATCTCTTTTTAAAGAAGGGAATGTTAACATTTATGTTTTCATACACACACACACACACACGCACGCACGCACGCAGAGGCATACATGTTGATTACATTTTGGATTTTGGAAAATAAAATGGTAGAGAATTTGGATGTCTGAATATTTATGCTTCATCTCTGCAGTAACTTCTAAATTTAGTTTTTTTTTTTTTCTGGATATACTCAAAAGAAAGTCACCAACCTGACTTCAAGTATTCTAATCTTAGAGATCTAGGCAGTCCCCCTTGTCAGTGCTAGGAGAAAGACGTCCTTCCCAAACCTTCCAGAAAGAGTGTGTTGAGGAAATATTCCTTGCTGGATAACGTGCCTTGGAATGTACACACTATTCATTTTTCTTTGACAGCTCTTTTTGGTTCCGTGTAGTTGGCTTTGATGGTTTCATGATGCCTAGTAGAGAATTTGGTATTTAGCTGCAAAAAGACATTTAAGACATAGTTATGTAAATATTGCAGATGGAGGATGATACATAGCATTTCTTTTATCAAAATGAATTTGAAATGACTTCTTTCTGAAAATTCTACCGGTAGTCAATTTTTAACTGTGTAACTTTTCAATATAGGAAATAAACCAATGTCTGATTGGGTGTGTATGTTGGAGTTTAATGGCTTTTCTTTTGAATTTGGGGGGCTTCTGCTATCAGAAGAAATGAATTGTGATTAACAGTGGTGTTAGAATAAATGAATTGGAAGTTTGAATGAGAAAAAACTTAAAGTTACTATTTATAGTTATGGAAAAGAAAATATTGTTTTCAGTTTAATATGAGGAAGAACCTCTTAAATGTAGAAAATAAAATGGTGTACTTTTCTACGTCCATTGTTAAGAATTTGGCAGAAGTTATAAAGAAGTTAAAAAGGAGGAGTTCCTGCTGATATAAGTCACAAGGATTATTTGAAGGAAATGTATGTCACATCTTGTGAAATTATGATATTGATAATTATAAATATGTAAAACTTTATGTGAAATAGGTGTTCCTAAAAATATTAAGCTACTATTCATAGTGAGATCACTATTAAATAAATTTAAGAGACAGAATAGCAAATCACATTTATTCATTCAATAAATTCTTCCCAACAGCCTGCTATATGTCTGTCATTGCACTCGGCATGGCATAGTCAAAAATAGGACTGATGTGATCCCATAGGTCTGGCAGGGAACATACACATTAAGCAAGTAATTACAATAAAGTATAGTGGCTTGTGACATTATAAAAACAAAGCAGTCCTTTCTTAAGGATACCATGAAATTGATCTGTAGTATGTTAATAATTTAATCTGTTCACATTCTGCATGAAATGAGGTGGTGCATTTTGACATAAAAATTAGACAAACATTCCTTACAGTTAGTAGAGACTGAAAAAGTCTTATTATTTGCATAGCTTATTTAAAATGAGAAACTGCTATGGAAAGATCTACAGGTTTCTGAGATACCACGAAACATGAATAAAAGCAGAACAAACAATGTCTATCGTGCATATTATATACATTATAAAAGTCAAGAGCAGAACAAACATGAGTAAGAGCAGAACAATGCCTATCATGTATATTATATACATTATAAAAGTCATTTAAGACAATTATATGAAGCAGTTTTACATTTAAAATTTCCAAGTTGTAGTAGTTAAGAAGATGGGCTCCAGAGTCGTACTGATTAGGTATGAGTATGAACTCTGACACGTACCAGTTTGCAATCTTAGGAAAGCTGCATAACTCCACTGTGCTTCAGTTTCCTTATCTGTAAAATTGGGATGATTAGAGTATTTATCTTGTGGAAAAATATATTATTTGATATATAAAAATGCTAGATGAGTACCTAGCATATGGAAAGTACATAGAAAGGGCTTCATATGTTGTTTTAATAACAATAATGATCGTTTTTTTCATTTTAAAAATATCCTGCTTCATTCATAAAGTTGTGCCAACTGAAATAATTGCAGATGGTCCTTAAAATATATATAATATATATTTCAGAGTGATATGTAAAGAGCTTTTATTACTATTGCTAAACAAAAGAAAGTCTGTAATTCTCATCTAAGCTTTGGGGTCTCTTTAGCTGAATTTCAGCAGTCACTCAAAGGCTTTCTAAAGATACCATCTAGAGATATTTTATAACCTAACATCTTTTTTTGTTTTTTTGTTGTTTTTTTTGCAGTACAGAAATATTTTTCTCTTACAGTGATGCTGAATGAGAGAAAATTATTTCAATACTATAAGTATGGTTTCCCATGACCACAATTAGTTCTAATGTAACCAGTCAACAGCTACATTAGACAGTCTATTGAAAACCACCAGCTATTAATAATGTGGCATAGTAGCCTGAAAGAAGTATGTTATCATTCTACTTAGGCCCTAGGAAGACAAGAGCCATGTAAAGAATATGTAGACTTGGCCGAGCACGGTGGCTCACACCTGTAATGCCAGCACTTTGGGAGGCTGAGGCAGGCAGATCATGAGGTCAGGAGATTAAGACAATCCTGGCCAACATGGTGAAACCGCGTCTCTACTAAAAATACAAAAATTAGCTGGGCATGGTGGTGCATGCCTGTAATCATGGGAGGCCGAGGCAGGAGAATTGCTTCACCAGGGAGTCAGAGGTTGTGGTGAGCCGAGATCGTGCCACTGCACTCCAGCCTGGCGACAGAGGGAGACTCTGTCTCAAAAAAAAAAAAAAAAAAAACAACACTTAGATGTAAAGCACAATATATGAGACCTAGTTCCTGCTCTGCCACTAATAAACAAGAGATGTCTTAGGTATATGAACCTGTTATGAGACCATCTTAGCATCTCAGCACCCTTATGTATATCGTGTGTATACACACATGTCCATCCGATATTCCTTCTCCAAACTGAAATGAGAGGAATTCATTAGGGTTGTTTTAATTTCCAAATTTACTGAGTAAAGACTTCTGTTCCAAAAATTATTTTGCATGTTGCCTTCAAATTGATTTTTACATATTTCAAGGCTTCTCAGATATCCCTACATAAATTATCTAGTATTTCTGCATCACTTTGTGATCTTTTCATTAATGTCAAGTGTGATGTGTTTTTTTGGGGGGTTGTTACATTCATTTATTTATTCATTCAGCATTTATTTATTGAAGTGGTATGATTTTTTTAACTTCACAAGGGAAACATGAAATTTATTTAGTGTGCCTAATTTTTCAGACATTTTCTTGTTGATTAAAATTCTTTTTTTTAAATAATAGTTTCAACATGTACCAAATAATTTTTTTACCTTTGAATTAACTTTTTATAAATAAATTTTAAATAATGACTGTAGTCATTACAGACTCTGCTGTTGGCAACACTAGAGGGCATTTCTAATTCTTCAGATAATGTCATGAGTTCTCAGGATAATTTAACAGTTCATTAAAAAGCAGACTAGCATTTTAAGGGAAAGAAACTAAAGCATAATACATGTATTATACATATATAGATTATGTATATATTATACATAGATAATACAAATATCCATATATGTATATAATACATACATATTGGATATAGGTATACATACATGTCTGCTTTACCAAATGTTCTCACTGAATCACTACTCCTAAAAAGGAGGGGAGTATTTGTGATCTGCTCATTGAAGCACCACTGTATTATCCAGTTGTGTATTAGTGTCATGGAGGTGGAGGTCTATGCCCTGATATGTTTAGCAACAAGTGAACATTGAGTAAAACATGTATATATATATACCCATACATACATACATACTCATCATCAGAATTAGTTGCTGTGCTTACTGAACTACTAGATGCTAACACAGTCATAATTAGAATAATTTTTCACATAAAAGAGAGTTAAAATAGATGCTGTTTATAGGCTTAGTAGAAGATTTAAGAACACCTATATTTTGAATTACTGTATTTTAAATGTTAAAATATTTGCAAGGGCTTTGAACACAAACATTTTTAGAGAAAGGATACTATTTAATATTAATATGCAATGATATGAAAGAAAACTTAAGTTTATAAGAATATTCAATTAGCCATAAAGAAAAACTTTTTTTTCTTAGGAAGATTTGCTTACTGTGGTGTATTGGGGAAAAAATCTTATGTATCATTAAGCAATTAACAAAAAGTCAAGAACCAGCAAAAATGTCCTAATTGTTGAGAAAATAAGGTGACAAATAGACAATCCCGTCTTATGCTATAATATACTTTGTATAAGAGGGCATACATGATAACCACTACAACAGTGGCGGATGTGCAGGTGGTAGATACACAAGAAGTATAAGAAAGTCTTTCAAGTTCAAACATATTGCTACATGTACTTTACCCATTAGAAATGCATTTACATTTTGAAGAGGAGCATATAAATTCACATATCTCTGTTGATATGTATACCTATAATTCACTTAAATACCTCAGTACTGACTAAATATAAAATACTCTGTTATTCTATGTTTAGCACAGTGAGGCTGTAACACTTTACCCTCTTATTATATAGCTGAGACCAGTTGGTCTCTTTTAGAGAAGGGAATATCAGCTAAAGAAAGACACGTTTGAATCATGAGATAATTTGCGAGAATGCAGACCCAAGTCATATGCTCTAATAAAACCAGAAGGCAGTATGTTTTTGTTGAGAAATGAAGGAGGTAGGAAGGTATCAACATAAAATAACCTACTTTGTATTGGTTCAGTGTACCCCATAAGCTGTCATCTCTGTTGTTTGTTTATTTGTTCTGAGGGCACAAATTATTTCATTTTCTGATATTCTCTTTCCTAAAGTATTGTTGGACTGGAACTTAAATTCTCCTCTCTCTTTGTGTGTCTGTCTGTCTGTCTCTTTCTCCTTATATTTATACACACACACACACACACACACACGTATGTATGTATGTATGTGTATGTATATGTGTGTGTGTGTGTGTGTGTGTGTATTCTCTCTACACACACAGAGTAATAGTATGTGCAAGCCAAATTTAATTTTAAAATTAATCTTTTAAAGTGTTGGTAAATCTGTGCCAGTCACACACAGAGTAGTCTGTCATGTCTTTTGCATCCTTGCTTTGTATTGATTGTGAATGTTTGTTATGTAGTAGGGTAGGTAATTCCACTTTTATTTGTGGGTAGGTAATTCCTCTTTTATTTGTACTAGAATATATATGGCTTAGTAGATGATGTTCCAAAGGCTTGAATTTTTAAAAAACTTTATTGTAAAAAGTTTTAAACATACACTTAAGAGAGACTAGTGTAATAAACCCCATGGCCTAAATTTAACAATTAGCAAAATTTTGCCACATTTGCTTCATCTACTGTCTTCTTTTTCCTCTACTATTTTTATAAAGTAGATCCCAGACTTCAAGTCTTTACATCCCTACATTCTTTCATATGTATTTCTTTAAAAGAATGAATTTTTCTTATATAACCACAATACTTCTATCACATCCAACAAAATTAATGATAACTACTAACTACCTCATATTCAGAGAAACTGAATGTTCAGCTTTTGACTGAAAAATGCCATTTTTACGTTTAGGTGATTCTTTCAGAATCCAACCAAGATCTATATAGCATTTGGTTGTTAGGACTGTTGTATAATGAAAAGGTCTTTTCTTTCCCACCACTTGTCTACCTCACCCACCCCCAAACCCTCTCCTTCCTCCTTCCCTCCCTGTTTCCCTTTCATGTCTTAATGACAAAACTGGGTAAGCTATCCTGTAGAATATCCCCCATTCTGGATTTTTCTGTTGGCTTCTCCCTGTTAACTTGTTCCTGTAACCTCTGAATTTCCTGTGAATTAAAAGTTGGCTCGAAAGACTTAATTCGTTTCAGGTTCAACTTGGTTTTGGTATTGAGGATGGAAGGCATACAGGAATACTTCACACATGGAACTGTTTCTCCATATTGCATCAATCAGGGAGCATATAATGTCTGCTTGTCATATTCATATCAATGCTAAAATTGGGCAGTGGTGCCAGCCCAGTCTCTCTATTGAGAATTTTCTACCAATCTCTCCTTCCATTGAGAAAGTTGCTGACTGTTCACTAAATCAATTCTATCATTAGGGTTTGCAGGGGAATGCATTTTTTTAATCTGCCATGCCTTCCACATTTATTAGTGAAAATTCTTCTATAAGAAGAAATTCCCCTCATAAATTATGCCTTTTTTATTTATCTGAAACAATGTATACTGGAAAGAAGCCTGATATCTTAAATATCATCTCTTAAATATCTAGTGTAACATTCCAAAGGTAACTTGAGATACTATAAGGACCACATAGCACCTTGAGTGCCCATTTTATATGTGACTCTGAGGACTTTCATAGAATAAACATATTTCTTATTTGATTGTAATGAACATTGTCAGTATTAGAATAATTTTATATAGTCAACATATATGCAGTGTTGATCCTTTAGGAGTTGGAGACCTTTTTCCAGTTTTATTTGGTCAAATACATTATTTTGTGACTAACTGTGGGTGATAAGTTGAGCCTTGAAGAACAGGATATTTCATTAAATCAACAAGCTGAACAGTATCATCTAACCAAAGCTGTAGAATAAATGGTGATAAACTTAAATTCAGGAATGAAACAATCACCACTTTGGTTACTAATTTATTCACCCCTCACCACTAGCTCCATTTTTATTTAACACTGGTAATGGACAAAACCTGAAGAAGAAATAAAACTAAAATATTTCATTTGTAAATGACCTGATTGATTATGTAGAAAAATCTACAGCAATCAGCTCTAAAATCATGTATTAAACAATAAAAATTTAATAAAGTACAAGATATATTGTATCTTTATACCAAGTGAAAATCATTCTGGAAAAATATCTCATTCAGAATTGTAACAAACAAAATGTAATACCTAGCAATACATTTGAGGGAGATGTTAGATCATTGGAAAAAAATATTAACATCCAGTGTATTTGAAACAAATTTAAGATTCAAATAAAAGGAGAGAAACTGTTTCTGAATCAAGAATATTGGCAAATCATTTGACTAAAAGTAATTTATAGATTTTTAGGTTTATCTCTAACTTCCAAAATTTCTAGTGATTTATTTTATAGTGATTCTGTAATGAGAAGTCTTGCCCTGCTAAATATAAAAAGGTTTTAAAGCAACAGTGTCTAAAACAGTGATAATGATGCAAGAATAGGTGTGTAACCCAGATACCAGAAGAGACCTCTCTCTCTCATAGCTTTAAGTATAAATTTTCTGGCTAGGCACAGTGGCTCACGCTTGTAATCCCAGCACTTTGGGAGGCTCTGGAGGGCAGATCACTTGAGATCAGGAGTTCAAGAGCAGCCTGGCCAATATGGTAAAACCCCATCTCTACTAAAAATACAAAAATTAGCCAGGTGTGGTGGTGCACGTCTATAGTTCAGTTACTCAGGAGGCTGAGGGTGGAGTGAGATGAGATTGTGCCACTGCACTCCAGCCTGGGTGACAGTGAGACTCTTGCCTCAGGAAAAAAGAAAAGTATAAATTTCCCTTGAAGCCCGACTTCATGGCCAATGAGAGCCAAGAAATGTGGCCTGCATCGCGTGACTTATACAAATCCCTGTGGCTGACTCAGACCTCAATTCCTCTGTCTCTGTTTGCATGCCACCTTGGTTTCTGCCAGTGTCAATACAGATTAAACCAGCCCCTTTACTAGTTTCAAACATTTTGCATTTTGTGAGTTAAGAAATCCTGAATAGGTGATAGACCCGCAAATTATTTTCTTAATTTTTGAGTAGAGCATGCTGTCTACATTCATTCTTTTCTTCTACTCATACTTACTTAAATTAATACAGTTGCTTTCTTAAGAGGAATGCTGGAAAAAAAAAGCTTGTTTCCATTTTGTAAAGCATACATTACTGGAGCATCATGAGAAATACAAAATTTGTCCCATTTATTAATACATACAATAACTAAATGTATGACAGAATATTCTTTCCTAAGTGAGAGTCTACTTAAAGGATATTTGTTCAATGGTGTTAGATAGTGGTATTCAGTGATACACCTCAAAACTAATTAGACAAAAAATGTTTTCATCTGTATCTTATACAACCATAGCAATTTTTTAAAAGAGAAGGCAGCAGAGAGAATATCTTTACATCTCATATTTGAAGAATAGTAGGACTCACCCAGAAGATACTTGAAGATGAAAAATTTTTGTTAGACAAAATATTATGATTAAAAGAATAATACAAGATTTTGGAAACTGCATCAGAAATTACAAGGAAAGTGATAGTAGCTGTAAGTTATATTGTTGTAAATATGCAAGTTTGATATCAAGGTTCTAATACATAAATGAGAAATGAAGATGACAGATCAAGAATGTGAAAGTAGGCCGGGCGCGGTGGCTCAAGCCTGTAATCCCAGCACTTTGGGAGGCCGAGGCGGGTGGATCACGAGGTCAAGAGATCGAGACCATCATGGTCAACATGGTGAAACCCCGTCTCTACTAAAAATACAAAAAATTAGCTGGGCATGGTGGCACGTGCCTGTAATCCCAGCTACTCGGGAGGCTGAGGCAGGAGAATTGCCTGAACCCAGGAGGCGGAGGTTGCGGTGAGCCGAGATCGCGCCATTGCACTCCAGCCTGGGTAACAAGAGCGAGACTCCGTCTCAAAAAAAAAAAAGAATGTGAAAGTAAAGAAATATGAATAATAAATGTGAGATTTTTTCATTGTGTTAAAAGACATAAATTTTTTTAAAAAGAAATCTAATATTTACAAGTAAGCAGTGCTAACAAACCCTTTTGGTAAATAATGTGAAAATACATGCTGAGAGTCACAGTAATGTTTAGAAATTTCATAATAACATATTAGGAAATACTGTTCTAATTAAAAATCATGCATATAGAAAATGCCCAACTTAAAGACTAATTATAAAACAGCAACATAAAATCTTACATTTAAATGATTATTTTTGGAGCCTATAGAACAACACTGTTCAGGAGAACTTTGTGGAGATGGAAATATTCTATGTTTGCACTGTCCAGTATGGTAGCCATTTGCCACCTGTGGCTACTGAGCCCTTAAAATGTGGTTAGGGCAACTGAGCAACGCCATTTTTAATTTAATGTTAATTATTTCAATTTAAATACATAAATGGGGCTAGTGGGCACAATTTTAGATAGTGTAGTTCTATAAATGAGGAGAAATGTTTGGCATAAATGAAAATAAAATAGTAAATTTATATGCCAGGATTACAAGTATGTACATAACTAAATGTACATATGGAAAGTGATAGTCACAATTAAAATATTTCTGTTAGGATTGAAGGAAATAGGTGATTTCTTTAAATGCTAAATTTTTTTAAAGGGTACATGATAGTAATGTGACACTTCAGCACTGTACTATTCAGTATGGTAGCCACCAGCTTGATGTGCAATTTAAGTTTACATCTGTTTAAGTAAAATTAAAAATTCACTACTTTAGTCACACTAGCCACATTTCAAATGGGCAGTAGTCATATATGGCTAATGTTTACCTTTTCGAACAATGAAGCTATAGAACAATTTTGCCATTGCCAAAAGTTCTATTGTATAGTGCTGTAGAAAGAACTGGTAAAGGAATATACTGGAATAAGTCACTGATAATTTATTAGTCAGTAGTTTCTAAGGGCACATGTGAATTAAAATTGGAAATTGGATTCAGTAAAAAGTATAAAGGAGTAGTATCATAAGCTCATAAGCTAGATCAGCACTCCTTTTGTAAGCTAGATCAGTGCTCCTTTTTAAATTTTTTTTGAGATAGAGTCTCACTCTTGCCCAGGCTAGAGTGCAGTGGCACGATTTCAGCTCACTGCAGCCTCCCCACCTCCTGTATTCAAGTGATTGTCCTGCCTCAGCCACCTAAGAAGCTGAGATTACAGGCATGTGCCACCACTCCTGACTAATTTTTGTACTTCTGTTAGAGAGGGGATTCTCCATGTTTCCCAGGCTGGTCTGGAATTCCTGAGCTCAAGTGATTTACTTGCCTTGGCCTCCCATAACGCTGGGATTACAGGCTTGAGCCACCGTGTCCGGCCTATACCAGTGCTCCTTGAAGAACGGGCTGTGCTGGTTTGTTAATCAATCCATGACTAAATGCTTACTCTCAATTTCTGTATTGGTTTAAAAACTCATAGTCACATGATATGTCTGTGTCATTCAGGCACATCAACTATCTCCTCTGGTTGAAGGGGAGGCCAGTCTTTTTAACACAGCTGCCTGTAGAGTTTTATGTAGTGTGAGCTGAGTATAGTCATGAGTGGCAGTCCATTAACATGGGTCCACAATGGGGAGAAAACAGTCCTTCACTACAGATTGCATGAGAAACATTGGCCAGCGTTAAGGAGGGAAAGTAGGTTGTTCAGGGAAGTTTTGTAGGGATCTTAAAATGAGATATTAGTATGGTTTAGTAATCTATATTTGCAGGTGAAATGAAAAATTCAACACTAAATCTCTGAATTTGGTAGACTTAGACTTCATTCTCTGCAGGTAGAAATGAGGCAAAGGATCCATTATCCACAGCATGAGTAAGTTTCTAGTCAGTTCCTCTGTCTTGGGAGTTTGTTTTCACCCTCGTTGGCCTAGGAGATTCAACCAGCAAGCAGTCTTTTCCCTTCAGTAAGATTTCCAACTTTGTGTTGGCCTTTACCCCTTTTTAGCTTTTTTTGTTGTATTATTTGCACTTAGTTCTTTGTAACTGTTTTTACTCCCCACCAAAGTTAGTTCAGAGGCTTACAGGATGTTGAAAATAGGAAAATTGTTTTTAAATTAACTGAGATTTTGTGTACACTTATATTCTTTAGCCTAAAGTTTTAAATGTTTTTTTTTTCACATTTAAGCCTGATTCCCTGAGACAAGATATGAAATTGGATTATTTGTGAAATGTGGAAAGCTTTTTACTCCCTGCAATCAAGGCATAATCTGTCCATGAAAGCGTTATTTTAGTGAATGAAGGGTGGATTTTGCTACCTGTTTTCTCACTGTGGTTTTGACCGTATGGCAAATGGTATCTTTTGCTATACGGTCAAAACCACTATGTGAAATGAAATGCACCATACACATTGTCCAGTATGTTTTAAGTTCTAATTCTACATTTTGAGATTTTGGGGTCAAATGGAATCAAATACTTTATAAATAGTTGTTTCTTCTGATTCTAGTGGACTTATTACATGTTAGATTTTTTAAAGTATATATTCAGTCCTTTATCAGTACCATTAATCCGATGTTAATTTTAGCATTTCTTAGAGTTTTTTTTGTTTTTTTTTTTTGAGATGGAGTCTTGCTCTGTCACCCAGGCTGGCGTGCAGTGGCACAATCTCGGCTCATTGCAACGTCTGCCTCCTGGGTTTAAGTAATTCTCCTGCCTCAGCCTCCCAAGTAGCGGGGATTGCAGGCACTTGCCACCATGCCCAGCTTATTTTTTTTATTTTTAGGAGAGACGAGATTTCACCACATTGGCCAGGCTGGTCTCAAACTCCTGACCTCGTGATCTGTCCACCTCGGCCTCCCAAAGTTGCTGGGATTACAGGCATGAGCCACCACATCCAGCCAGCATTTCTTCTTTTTCTCTCTAATCTATCAAATTTGGAAACAGTTGGCAAACGTCTAAAGGAATTAAGTCTGTGTTTTTAATAATACTTTTTAATAATAGTTAAAGGAAAATAAATGAATAATATTTTGTTTATTACAGTCAGACAAAATGTACATACTAAAATACATAAGAAAATCATACTGATAGAATGCTATCTTCTGATTTCAATTTAATATTATGGTAATGATTTATTTAGGCAGAATTATTGCTATAGACAATCATTGTATCACTTGATTTATATTGATCTACAGATGAAAACTGTTAATACTAAAGCATTAAAAAGGCATATTCCTTTTAGTCTATATTAATATTATTCTTATATTTGATACTTAATGATATATTTTAAAGTACTCTGCATGATTTCCTGATCTTAAAGCATTCCACTCCTTTCAAGGAGTTTGGATTATAATAATTTATTTATAGCATTTTCTCATTAATATTTTAAGATATGGCATTTTAAGATATTATATTCTTAAGAATTATTTTATACATAATTAAACATTTATATTAGTTTTCAAACCCTCAGAACATTTGTAGGCTTTTGTTTCATTTTATGTAAGTTTGAATCTTAAGAATATTGACTAATTGATTAATATCCTTTTATTCATCAAAAATTTTTTAAATGCTTATTATGTACCAGGACCTATTTAAGGTACTACAGATAATTAGTGTGTCAAAAAAGCCAAAATTTCTTTTCCTCTTGGAGTTTTACATTTTAGTAGATTGATTCTATTGTTGATTCATACTAAACTGATTGATTGATTATACTAGATTAATTTATTGATTCTGTGGCATTTAACACAATTCAGAGGGCTACTTTTCAGTTAGTTGTCAGGAAATAGCATATGCCATAATCTTGGAAGTACAAAGGGAGGACAGAATTCCTGGTGGCTCTGTCTAACTCATTGCTTTTTAATGAGTTTAGCTATACATTTTTTAAAATGGAATTTATAACTATGATCATTTGGCAACCTACAGTGTTTCTGTATTTTTATTTTTATTTTTTTTTAATTCTCAACTTCCCCGTGATGGGATAGACATTGAACTAGTTATTTAAGGTTTTGGGTCTAAGGAGTAATATTTGAAACATGCAATATTTAGGGGAGATACTTTTTGTGAAAGAAGAAAATGTGATTTTAAGAATACTCATGATTTTATCTAATTTCTGTTTTCAGAACTTCGTTTTGTAATATAGAAAGATAAACTTGATCCAAATGATATGATCTCAGTATAATCTTTTACTCTTCTCTCCTCCCTCAGGACAATCTTAAACTTCCACCACAAGAGGATTGTAAAGAGGTTCCTCCTGCACCAAGAAAGATCTGCAGATCTTTTTCAGTGTTCTTGGAGGTGTGGGGTGTGAGAACTTGATCAGTTTGTGTCAGCCACCTTGTTCTCTAAAGGTAAGCACTGTGTAGTGAGTGCACACTCGTGGGCCCAGGCTCCTAACCTAAGACTGGTTTTGGAATGCTCCATTGAGGGTGTGAGACCTTCAGACTTTCTCACAGAAGGGAAGCCTAGAGAGCTGTGGGTAGGACATCACAAATTTATCAAGAGGTGTTTTTTGTTATTTAGAAATGAAGCATGTCCTGGAGATGTATGGATGTTTTTGTTTTGTTTTACTTAAAAAAAAATCCCAGTCATAGTAAAATCTGTTTTCAGTTTAGTCTGCATTTATTCAGTTAATGACTGCTCGAATTAATCCCACATGAATAATTTTTCTTGTATGTCTTGAGATATGGATTAAGAATTTTGAAACAATGACACCATTTAGGCAATCTAATGACATAATAGCTTCAGTGGATACAACCAGCTTTGAAGAATTACTTTTCAGGATCTTTTTGAAGCTATATCTTATCTTTACTTCAGGGAAAGTCCCTTAAACCATTTTGTAATCTGTATTACCCTTCAGAAAGTATGGAAGCAAAGGCCATCTAATCTTTAAAAGGTATGTAATCATAAAATTTTTGTGTCAGATCTTAATTGAAAAGTATTACTTAAAATTGGAAAAAATTACTTAAAATTGGCAATTTCTTTCCTGTCTTACAACTTCTTCCTGTCTTCAGGAAATGAAGAATAGATATGTTGGTTCTATCAGGGAAACCTTATGAAGGATAAACAAATCAATGTCTGTGCTTTACTTCCAAATTGTACTATCAGAAAACCTTATTGTTCACTTACATAATCTATAGATGTCTCTCAGAATGATCTTAAATTAAAATGTCACTTAAATATAATTGACTATGGAGAAGAACAGAAGCATGCTGATTTTGAAAATGTCATTAATACTAGGATTAAGTCACTCTTAAACAAGAATACTTAGAATAACAAGAGACTAAATGTCTAGTAAAACATTTTAGATTGTAATCCCCAGTATTCTGTAGTATTAACAATGAGAACTTAAAGTACTGATGAAGAAATTAAACTTGTCCATTTCATTTCATTTTTCTTAAAGCTCTTAAAATGATCCTGAAAACTTTAGTTTTACAAAGTGTGAACTTCTTATGGACCATTAAATTGGGGGGTAATGTGCTGATTTTTGTCCGGCAACCCTACCTCTGATGCAGGATAATTTTTTTGTCTTTTCAAAACTGTTGCTCTTCCTATAGCTGTATAATAAAAGACACTAAAGAGGAAAAACACTTGTGTGTTTGCTGTTAGAGTAAGAAAAAATTACAGCTAGGACCTTTTTGAAAAACCTTGAGAACCAATTTACTTTTTTTGTATGTAAATTGTTGAGGAGTTAGAACTCGCCTTGGTTACTTTAACTGCAGGTAAACTTAAAAGATTTAAATCTTCAAAATAGACATCATGTAGGGCTTATTAGAAAAGAAATACAGATTATTGGGTATATAGAGATTATATATATGTATACAATTTTTTTTTGAATTTTTATTTGTGAGAGCATGTTAAATATCTTAGCCTTATAATAGCATAGAATAGAATGGACAAATGTGTTATCTCTTTTAGCCAGTTGAGAGAACACTTTGAATTAAATTTCCAACCTAATGAAAATTATAAGGTGGGTTATAAAGATATAGGTTATTATTTCTTACCCAAACTAAAGGTTTATTATAACTAAAATACTTTTAATCTAAGAAGGCTCTCCAAACATACATCTTTTTAAAAGTGAGCTTTATTTTATGATAGTACATATTTTAGCAAATAAAAGTTTATTTCACTATCCTAGAACTAGTGTTCTAATTTCAGATTAGTTTTGTAGCATGTATAAATAAAATGGGAACCTGTGAGATCTTGCTCTATAGTATCAAAAATAAGATCTTTTTCTAACAATTTTTACTAATAACTTATCCATCTCAATTCATAGAAGGTAATAAAATCAACTATTGTTCTATGATTTTGATCATATGTAGGAGAGAAACACAAAATAATGGTACCAAGGGCTTCTTCCATTGAAACTAATATCTGGGAGAATATTTGATTCTCATGTGTACATATACACACATCCATATTAGTATTTTTTTAATCACATAAGAATGATTTGTCAAAGATCAGGTTTCTGATTTGTCTTTCATCAGTATTGGTGCACCACATTTTGTTTTTGTTTTTGAAGTGGTCTTAGCCAGTTCATGCTAGTCCCTACTAGAAATTTTGTTTCCCTGGCATAATCATGCTCTTTACCTACTCTGATAGCTGGAGGGAGGTGAGAGAAGCAGTCTTACGTGTCTGCCAATACTGATTTTTTTAGAGATGGGACGACAACAAATTTTTGTTTTTTGAGGCATCTAAACCAGCACAAAGATAATTTGAGCCATAAATAGCAGCTACATATGTAATTTTAAGTTTTTATTGGCCATGTTAAGAAAATAAAAAGGCAAAATTAGTCTTTATTACATTTTATTTAACCCAATATATATAAAAATATAATTTCAACATATAATTAATAGAATGTTTTATGAGATTTTTTTTCATACTCAGCATTCAAAATCTGTGTTTTTTATACTCACAGCACATCTTATATTTGACTAGCCACAGTTAAAGTGCTTGATAGCCAGACATGGCTAGTTACTACCATATTCCACAGTTCAGATCTAGACAATGAATGGAATTCTTATTTTAGCCTCATCCATGCTAAAGTCCATTGTATGACCCCCCCCTTTTAGTGTTTCCAAATTTAGCAGAAGTAAAAAACAAAATAGCATGTCCAGTGTAGTTTGAATTTCAAGTAAATAACAAATAATTGTTTAGTGTAATTGTGTCCCATGTTACATTTGGGGCAAACTTTTACCAAAAAAGTTACTGCTTATTTAAAATTCAAATTTGACTGAGTATCCTCTGTTTTATTTGACAACCCTTCTCTGGTTTAACTTGAGAAGAGGACATTATCAGGCTGCCTGGAATCTTAGACGACTAGAAAATAAAGTATCTCTTCCTCTGTGCAGGATTTTATTAACCCTCCAAAAATCAGCCTGTAAACTAGAAAAAATCTGTAGCCCATTTCTTCCTAATTATCTAGTAGGTTTAAGACAGAAGAGGCACTTAGTCCATACATATTTAAACATTTTAAATCAAAATTATTTAGGTATAAGGTTTATGAAATTTTATAATTTGAATGATTACTTGAATTTATAAAATATAGATCATCTAACAGCACATTGCTGCTATCATTTTTCTTGAAACTAGTGCTCCCTTGGCAGTTACCACAGCAGTTTTCAGGGTCTCGGCCATTTCAAGGTATTTTCCTACCATTGATTCCCATTGCATCTGTCACATAAATCTCCGGTAGTCAAGCATTAACACAAAATACAAGGCTACTGAATGCCAGGATTAGGCTTACTTCATTACAAGTATTTAAGTACTTGTAATTCTTTGCTCTGGTGTTGACCATTGGATCCTGACCAGTTCAACAGTCAGTCTCCTAAGGGCTTCTTTTGCAGAACGAACATCTTTTCATTTTCATTCTTTAACATTTTTAATGTATTAATTTTAGTACTATTTTTGAAGCATACAGTCACCTCCTTAGTAGCATGGATCTGCCCTCTTTAAGTGCTGCAGAAAAGGCTGTTTGTCTCAAAGACAGCCATTGCACCACCTCCCTCTCAGAGAATACTTTTCTTCACAAGCTACATGACTCTAGGTGACGGGCCTACATTATTATTTACGTAGGCAGATGGATGCCAACTACCAGAACAGGGTGGTATAATTTAGCAGTTCTGAGGCTAAGTTATGGTGCATTCCAAATCCATTCACACTTAGGAGAATGTACCCAAGAGTGTGGGGATGTTTACAATTACTGCATTTCCTTCAGAGAACAAGAACTACAGGTAAGTGTGTGTGTGTGTGTGTGTGTGTGTGTGTGTGTGTGTGTGTGTGTGATCGAAATAAGTATTTTTAAATAATAAATTTCAGGATGTGAAAGTATTGTCCTTCCCCCAAAACAGTCACCTGAAAGGTCTCAAATATAGTTTTCAGTATATAATGTTTTTCTTCCTCACTCTAAGAAGGAATTGGAGCTGGTGGTGATGGTGGAGTTGGGATGAGGGAGACAACTTATTGTCATTTGAAATCTGTGGCTGTCACACATTTTCATGTCTAGAAATATCCTGGGTTTATGTAAGAATCTTATTTTTGCCTAACCTCTAATGTCTAAGGTATGAATTATTTTGTCAGATAAACACATCTATATATAAGTAAGGTGTTCAGCCTTTCTTAACTAATGTCTTCAACAGCAGTGAGTAAATTAATGAGTTGTGTCTGGGTTTTCACTTTTATTCTTAACACTGACTTCCTTTTTTTTTTTTTTTAAGTGGCTTTTGCCTTATTTCTGAAACCATAATTTAAAACTACAAAAGACCTGAAATATAATCTAGTACTTTTTACCTGGGGATTATTTAATGGATTTCAGAGATTCTGCGAATCCCCTGAAATTACAGTCATATTTTGTATACATGTGTTTTTAGTGTGAAGAATGTACATAATTTTCATAACAAAAAAATTTGTTCAACACCCACTGTGATCTAGTCTAATGTGATTATTTTACTGATAAACTAACATTTAAAGAATTTAAGTAACTTCATTCATTTGAAATTTAATACTTGTGAAAATTAAAGTTTATTTCTTTAAAATTCATGCTGATTTTTAAAAGAAAATACAATTAATTTCAATTAATTAAACTTGAAAATACCAGCCCAAATGGGAGCAGTTAGTTTGCTAATGGTTTCTTCTGTTCTGCCCTTTGATTGGACTCTACTAGTTAACATTAAAGTGGCCTTCCATTAAGGTATGAAACTATGTGATAAGTTCTTGAAGATAGATTAAAAAGAAAATGAATTATCCATTATCATTTAAGTCCTTTTTTTGCTTTTCAAATTGTGTCTCCAAAACTAAAACTCAAGAAAATAGGTGAATAATGTTTTTCCAGAATATTTTAAAAGTAGGTAATTGCCTTAATAAACATTACACTGGGCATTATTGGGACAGTTTTAGGTTCTGAACCCTAGTTAAAGAGATTCTTCAATAGCCTATATACACTTCCTGTTGTTTTTCAGTGATTACGGCACTTCAAGGTCTTTTTTATCATGAGATGCTTTTAATGTTATAGTAAGACTTCAGAAATGGTAAGTAAGCAAGTTCTGTATTAATTAGGGAAACTAATACCTTTCTCAAAATAAAGGAAATACTATTTTTTTCTTTTGCTTTTCTTGGTACTAACCAGTAAAGTCTGCCTAGTTTAATATCTAGTCCATTTATACCATAAATTGAATATTAGAATAAAAAGAAATTTAGAGGGTGTTATACAGAAGACAATTATTTTCTGAAAGGAGTAGAAAAAAAGTAAGGCAACTTGTAACACTACGTGTGTGTGTGTGCGTGTGTGTGTAAAAAATATACTTTTATAGAGATTATATATCCATATATAGAAGTATATATATAAACTTTTTGGAGACAGGGTCTCACTCTGTTACCCAGGCTGAAGTGCAGTGGCACAGCCACAGCTCACTGCAGCCTCCGCCTCCCAGGTTCAAGCCACCCTCCCATCTTAGCCTCCCAAGTAGCTGGGACCACAGGTGTGTGCCAAGCTAATTTTTTGTGTGTTTTCTGTAGAGATAGGGGTCTCACCATGTTGCCCAGGCTGGTCTCAAACTCCTGAGCTCAAGCAGTCCTCCCATCTTTATCTCCCAAAGAGTTGGGAGTATCAGGTATGAGCCACCATGCCCAGCTGTACTATTTCTATTTTTTATTTAAATTAAATTATGCTTAAAGATTCTAAAATGCATTGTATAAAGCTCATTATAGAAAATGGTATTGACTTCTGAAACAAATTATAGTTTCAGTTTTGTTTTTATTCCTTTGGACATTTTCACTCAAGATAATTATCACTCATGCTTTTCTGCCATTATAAAAAGTGACCAGATTTTGCTTTTTATCCAGGAAGAACAATTTGTGAATGCTATTTGATAGGCCAGTGTTATTTTCCAAGGGTAATTCTAACAAATAAAAAGTTATATTTTTACTTTGTATTCATCAAGTTATTTTATGTTTAATTTAGAAAACCTTAAATACTTCTTAGGAATGTTTGCAAATATTTGTAAATTTTTTTTTCAAGAAAGTTGAGTTTTACAGATATTAAATACTTTTGTGACTTCTCATTAAAAGAAACTGAAGCAATTAGTTGACCTACTCACTCAATTCATTAAAACAATGCCAGGTTCTTGGTTTTCATGATATTGAAAATAATTTAATGTCTGTGTATAGGCAATTACTAAAACTTTATTATTTCATTTCAGAGTTTTATTACCATAGATTATTGTTTAAAATAGAGCTTTCAAATACATTTAATAACCATTAAAAGTGACTTCTCCCTGCATATATATAAAAGATATATGCATGGCTTCTATCTTTCTGTGTTTAAACAATTTATTATTTTTGTTTTTTGAGACAGAGTCTTGCTCTGTCGCCAGGCACCAGGCTGGAGTTCAGTGGCGTGATCTTGGCTCACTGCAACCTCCGCCTCCCAGGTTCAAGCAATTCTCCTGCCTCAGCCTCCTGAGTAGCTGGGATTACAGGAGCGCACCACCACGTCCAGCTAATTTTTGTATTTTTTAGTAGTGATGGGGTTTCACCATGTTGGCCAGGATGGTCTCGATCTCTTGACCTCGTGATCCACCTGCCTCAGCCTCCCAAAGTGTTGGGATTATAGGCATAAGCCACTGTGCCCGGTGTATATAAACAATTTAATGTTTAACTTTTATTTCTTTTATGTTTGCATATTTAAAACTCTTTGCAATCTCATCATTTATATTGGAGAACTTAGACTATGAAACTTTGCCACAGCTACCTGCCATATCCTTGTAAGGGATGTAAGTAAATGTATTCAGTCATCAAGTATATTGAGAACTATGAGAATAGAGTGGTAAACAAAACATATTGCCTCCCCTCACAGCTAAAGAGGAGTGATGGGAAGACAGAGGTGATTAGAACCCAATCTGGGATCAGAAAACAAAACTACAATCTATTTCAGGTTGCAGAAATGAAATTTTAACAAAATCAGAGGCATATTAGAAGTTAATAAAACCAAATGAGAAGGCGGGGTGGTATTTTGTGCTGAGAGCACAGCAGATGTGAGAGTCATAAAGGAAGAAGGAGAACAAAACACATTCAAGACAAAAGACACAGGGAGAGGGAAGGGTGACACTGCATGGTGAAATATCTTGCAAGTCAATATTAGATATTGGCCTTTGGGCTTTAGCTTAAGAAGAGTGGGAAGACATTGACCGTCAGATTTGTATTTTTTCTAAAATTTTTTATTAAAGCCGAATACATCTAGAAGCATGAGCATTCTGTTTTATGAATTTTCATAGACTGAACACACCTATGTGATGACCACCCAGATGAAGAAAAAGAACATTACCAGCATCCTAAAAGTTCCCCATCATTTTCCTTCCAGTCAATCCTGTCTCTTGCCCATCAAGGAGACCTCTTGCCTGACTTCTCAATGTATATAGAGGGTATTGCTTACATTGTACTTTATATAAATAGGAGCATACAGTGTGTATTCACTTGGATGAAAGAAGCATTATGATCAAGAGATTTGTCCATATTGTTGACTATGGTTGCAAATTGTTATCATTGCTGTATAATGTTCCATCATATGCATGTACCACAGATTTGTGTTTTTCCAAGATTGCTGCATCTGCACCATGAGGGTGTGAATTTAGTAAGCCTCTCAGTAAATCTAGGCAAGAGATAATGGGGCTTGAGCTTTGAGCTAGTGTGGTGACAGTGAGAATGAAGAGAAGTAGGCAAAAACAAATTAGAACTATAGAATCTGGGTATTAATTGGATGAGGGGTTGAAGAATCAGAGACACTAGAAATAACTCCTGGGTCCTCACTTGAGCAGGGGTTAATGGCAGTGCCCTTCATTAAGTCCAAATACTTGGGAGGAAGTGGGTTGTTGCTCACACTTTAGTGATAGAGGGGAACAAAGAATTCAATTTCTGATATAGTTAATGCGCCTGTGAAACATTGCACAAATCTGCTTTATACAACTAAAAACCTGTTTTATTAACTGAATTAATGAATAACTTTACCTTCATTAACAACAGTGTGCTAACAAATAGTTCTACATTTGGAAAACCGCAAATCTAGTCTTTTCTCACTATTCTTCACCTCTAAAGCTCATTAGATACGCTTTTCGTAAATGTTTTAGGAGTGGTTTTGTCACAGCTCATGCTTTTTTTTTCTTTTTATATATAGAAATACTTCCTCTAAACTAGTGCTAACTTTATGCAAGTAGACTAGTACTTCCTAGGTATATGATATGAAAGGCATTGGTGAAATGCCTTTATACTTAAAAACATTGTTTTTCCATCATTATAGTCTTTAGCTCAATAAGTACACCTTAAAATGAGTTTGTTTATAGGAAATAATCTACTTAGTAAGACTTTAATTGACTGAAATAAATATTCATGAGATTTTGGCAAGGGAAAGAAAAGAAAGAGAAGGATGAGGTCTGACCTGAACACAAGCCTAGGCAGGTTGCCACAGGGGGACCCTTGAGCATCAGAGCTTAGGTTGAAAGCACCTGATTTTAAAGGAATGCAATGCCAAAAGAGATGCCAAGAGTGACACAGAAGCTGTAAAGGTGGGACTTCCCCACGTTTCAATGCTGCCTGGGACTAGTTGTACTCTTGGAAAGTTTTATATGAAGATAACTAATAAGCATAGTGCTGAATGAAACAAATGCCTAAGACCTAGTGGAACATTCAGTAGACTTTTCCGCCAGCCAGTTATGATTCAATGCTATATTTAGACCACAAAATTTGAACTAAAATCAAGGCAGTTTATTCTTATCCCATCATGTCCATGTGGTGGGGAGGAACAACCAAGTAATCATGATTATGCACTTCAGTTTATAGAGTTTTATCTAGCTTTGGACATTGTTGCTTAAAAGATAGTACAGTTTTAAAAATTAAATGCTCAATTTCATTTCTCTGAGGTTTTGTTGTTGTTGCACAACATTTGAATGTACCTTGAGCTGTTCTTTTTTTAAAAATTTTTGCCTCTAATTCAGATTTCTATTGAGCAACCAAATCAGTATTTTCGGTAGCCATTGAAGCTAATTCACTTATTTAATAATTACTTATGAAATATATGTCATTTATAATCACGCTATAGCCTAAGATGATGATGGTGAGAAGTATTCCTACCTTTTGTTACTGGCAGCATGGTGGAGATACTCGAACATACAAAAACAGTGTGATAACACAAATTGTGGTATGACTCGCTGTTTTAGTAGTGTTTACAAAAAGCACTGAATCCCAGGAAAATAAACTATGGGCTACAATATCAAAAAAGAAATGATGGAAGAGGTAGAGTTTAATTTGGGTCTTGACAAATAGGTAAGATCTGAACAGGTATGGCGAGAAAACTGCAGGCAAGGGTAACATGAGAATTGATGCAGAAAAAAATACAGCATGTATTTGCAGAGTGAGAAACTGGCCAGACTGTGGCAGAAATCACAAGCTGGTGTGAGGAGAGAGAGAAAAGCTTCATTAAGGGTTGACCAAGTTGTAATAAGCTTTGAATTACTGAAAAATTCACCAGTCATAAGAGCATGGATTATTGTCTTGATTTTTAGATTATCTATAAATACTTTACTTTTAGTATATTATCTATAAATACTTTTACTTTACTCACTACCATGTGATAATCATGTAGGTTTTTATATTTTTAGAAATCTGCTGTGAAATTATCTGAAGGAAAGATGTTATTGTGCTTTTTAAGTTAAGAGTGTCCTCGCTCAGGATACATGGGTTGGCTTCAGGGATTCTGGATCTCTCTGAAATTAAAGCAAAAGTTTGGACATACTTCTTTTTCTGGAGGAAGGATCCATTGCCTTTATCAGTATGTAAGAGTCCAAAAGAAGTTAATGAAATAGCTCTAGCTCTCCTAACTTTAAACTTTTGAATCTAACTTCATCTTGGTTTTTTTTAATGCAATAAATTAAAATGGGGAAACTAAAACACATTAAATGCTTTCTTTTTATTTCACCATTTACTGATAGAATATTTAAGAGAGAATCCTGGCCGAGCATAGTGGCTCATGCCTGTAATCCCAGCACTTTGGGAGGCTGAGGCAGGCAGAGCATGACGTCAAAAGATCGAAACCATCCTGTCCAACATGGTGAAACCCGGTCTCTACTAAAAATACAGAAATTAGCTGGGCGTGATGGTGCGCCCCTGTAGTCCCCACTACTTGGGAGGCTGAAGCAGGCAAATCACTTGAACCTGGGAGGTGGAGGTTGCAATGAGCCGAGATCACGCCACTGTACTCCAGCCTGGCAACAGAGCGATACTCGGTCTCCAAAAAAAAAAACAAAAGATAATCCTGAAAAGTGTTATCAGTTGGGTTGATTATGTAATCAGAGATAGTGGCTATTTTATCAATTCAGTGGCTTTTGGTAAAAGGACAACTTAGTTGCTTTTTTAGATACAGCATGTTTCTGAATATGCTATTTCAAGTAGAAATTCCTATTTTTGGACAGATATGCATCTACTTTCTGCAGAATATAAAGCATTTTAAATGTGTCCAGCTTCAGTCCTGAAATTTGACTCACCTGGCTCGTATTTAATCTTTGTACAACTGTTTAAAGTAGGAATCAACAAATTATGACCCATGGGCCAAATCCAGCCCTCAGCCTATTTTTGTATGGCTTGTGACCTAACAATTGTTTTTACATTTTAAAATTGTTACATTTAAAAAGGATCGAATGGATTAGGATTGTAAAAAAAAGGGAGAATATGCAACAGAGATTGTATGTGGCCCTCAAAGCCTATGGTGTTTACAAACTGGCCCTTACTTTTTAAATGCCAAACCTTGGTTTAAAGTATAGTTTTTAAGTTCTCCCAGATACATGTGTTATTCTACAAGCCGATACAGTGCTCGTGGATAGGTATTATTTTTGAAGTTGGGAGTATATTTATATAATTTTAGCAAACTTGACTGGATAAGATAATCTGTTTTCTATACTGGATATTCAGCTAATAGTTTAGCTGTCTAAAGTCTGGATTTGAAAGTATATAAACAAAATGATGACTTAGTAATCTACTTCAAAGAACTATGTGAATATAAAGGTAGAGTTTTTCATGCATGTGTTACACAACAACCACAATTCAGATCAAGTGAAAAATATTAAAATACCTGTGTTTCAGAAGATACCACTTATTTAAGGCAAGTAAGGCAAAAGAAAACATGATACCTGTTAATGTGTTAGGAAGGGCAGTTATTCAAACTTATATTATTCATTGATTTATTCAACACTTATTTTTAGAACCATTAAATATATATTGGCTTCTTTTTATTTTTTTAATATTGTGTGAGATGCTATGATTTTAACATTTGGATAAATATTGAAATTATTTTTAATGGGGGATATGTCATAATTAGTGAGTCTCAAAAAATCGGGGCAATTCTGCCTTCTCTCTCTGCATCATAATTTTTCCTTTGCTACTGGTTCTTTTCCACCAACATACAAATAATACTGGTTTTTTTCCTCATCTTAAAAAGAAAAAATCTTACTCCCAGTTTCTCCTCTAGTTACTGCCCTGTGTCTTTCATTTACAGTTGATATCTCTGAAATATGTAGTTGTCTGTGCTGTCTGAATTCAGTTCCTGTAACCCCTGCTATTTCACCAGAATTGTACTTTTTAATGACTACCATGCTGCCAGTCAGATGGTCATCCCAGTCTTCCTCTTATTTGACCTGGCAATGGTGTTTAACACTCCTTGTTTGGCCTTTTAGATACTATACTGTACTCTCCTGGTTTCCTCCCACCCCTCTGGCTGCTACTTTTCAGTCTCTTGCTGATTTCTTCTTGTGTCCCCCATCTCTAAATTGGTAATACTCCAACATTTGGAATTTTGGGGCCTTTAAAACTGCACATTCATTTGCTTAGTAACTTCATATAGTACCATGGCTTTATATGGGTATCCATTTGCTAATGAGCAGAAGTTTTAGTCGTCTTCTTCATTTTTTTTTTTTTTTTTTTGAGACGGAGTCTTGTTCTGTCCCCCAGGCTGGGGTACAGTGGTGCTATCTTGGTTCACTGCAACTTCTTCCTGGGTTCAAGTGATTCTCCTGCCTCAGCCTCCTGTGTAGCTGGGATTACAGGTGTGTGCCAGCATACCTGGCTAATTTTTGTAATTTTAGTAGAAACGGGGTTTTACCATATTGGCCAGGATGGTTTTGAACTCCTGACCTCAGGTGATCCACCCACCTCAGCCTCCCAAAATGGTGGGATTACAGGTGTGAGTCACTGTGCCCAGCCCCTTTAGTCTTAGAATATAATGTAGTAAACTGAATTCCTCATCTTCCCCCAACCAAAACGTCCTCCGGCAGTTTTTCCCATCTGAGTAACACCACCTGCTCTCTTTTGATCAGCCTTGGCGTCACCAAGGATGTCTGTCCTCCTTTCATTCCACATGTGATAATTCTTCACATTTCTGTTACCAAACTATTATCTTGTTTCCGTCCTAAAAATATTTCCGCTATTTAGTTATTGCTCACCATCTTTACTCCTACCGCCCTGCTCCAAGTCACCTTCATCTCTCACCTGTATTTAGATGTGAAAGCCTTCTGTAATTGGTCTTCCTGTTTCTGCCTGTTGACTTACTTCAGTCAATTCTTAATATAGCAGGTAAAGTAGCTATATTTAAATATAAGCCATGTTATGTCACTCTTTTGATGAAAATCCTCCATTGACTTTTCATATCAACCAGAATAAAAACTGAAGTCCTTAAAATAGCCTATCATGCTCTGTGCTCTGGACTGTCATTCCCAGAAAGCCACTGCCAACCACTCCTGCCTGCTCACACCCACTTTGCTCTAGTCATCCATCCTGGCTTCTTTGCTGTTCTTAGAACTTGCCAGGCAAGTTCTTGCTTTAGAGCCTTTGCACTGGCTATTGTCTGTAATGCTCTTTCCCTGTATATCTACAAGGCTCATTCTCTCATTCCTTGAGATTTTTACTGAAATGTCAATTTAAAGAAGCTTTCTTTAGCCACTTGATCTAAAATTGCAGATTTCTCCTACTCCACCCCAATTCTCCTTCCTGCTTTAAGTTTATTTTCTTGAAGACCTATTACCATCTACCATCCCATATATTTTACCTACTTTTCCCATTTCTTTTTTGCCTTCTTCCACTAGAATATAAAGGCAAGGCTTTTTGTTTGCTTTGGTCACTGATCTATCCTCAGCATGTAGAAATATAGTGTTTGGCTCATGTTGCACACTTAGTTAATATTGATGAATTAACAAATGAGTGCAATTAAAAACTAGCCAACACAAAATTTTAAGATAGTTCAGGGTTTTTGAGAGTTTCTAGGATCATTGAATAAGCATTCAGATATTCCAGTAAATGACATGCATGGAGCTCAAGGTATTGGAAATATGACAGTATACATTGATATTATTGTATATGTAGAACTTTCTTTTTTTGCGCAGATCCTTGGTTTTGACCCTTTATTTTTTTTAAGTATGGAATACTCAAATATCATTTGAACTTAAATATGATTACTATTTGAGTTTGCTATGATGTGGATACTTTTTTTTTGGAAGACGGAATCTTGCACTGTCACCCAGGCTGGAGTGCAGTGGCATGATCTTGGCTCACTGCAACCTCCACCTCTTGGATTCAAGCAATTCTCCTGCCTCAGCCTCCGGAGTAGCTGGGATTGCAGGCGTACACCACCACATCTGGCTAATTTTTTTTTTTTTTTTTTTTAGACTGTGTTGCCCAGTCCAGTCTGGTTTTAAACCCCTGAGCTCAGGCAGTCCTCCCACCTTGGCTTCCCAAAGTGCTGGGATTACAGGCATGAGCCACTGTGCCTGGCTGATATGGATACTTTTTAAAAGAATCTTTTATCATTAAAAGTATCAGTCATTTACTGCCATAGTAAGGAATATTTTTTACAAAAAACTTACAAAACAATTTAAATTTACAGAAGAGTTGCAAAGGCAGTACAGAGATTGAACGCTTCAGGATCCTTGTTCTATGTTTTATAAGTTTACATCTTCAAAAGCATGGAACAATAATTCAGCCTACCAACATAACTTTTGTTAAAGTAACTGTTTGTTAAAATAATTTTTAAATATTAATCACATAAAACCACCAAATAATTATTTTCAAATTTTAATTTTGTTTTGACTATATGTATAACTGATTTAAATATAGTAATATACAAATTTTACTTTACTTTTTAATTATGACATTTCTTCATGTTTCATTATAGTCTTCATTATTGTCTAAATGACTAACAGATCATCTTGCTGATGTATCATTATTAATAAATTGTTTTCTTCCTGTTGGATATCTTAAGGCTATTTTTTTGCTGTTATTAATATGGTAGATGATATATTTGTATGTATAACTTCTTACATTTACCTAAATTATTTCCTTTAGCTAATTACCCAGAATTAGATTAGGCAATAAAAATCATAGGGCTTATCAGGAAAATGGGGTTGGAGTACAACCCACAAAAATTTTGTCAGTGATGCGTTTTCAAAAAGACAGAAAACTGATACCAAGTGCAGTACAGTTTTACATATGTTAAATGGTTAAGAAATATATAACCACTATTATACATGTGACACTTTACCTTGAACAAACCCTGATGTTTGCTTATGGAAGTAGGTGTGGGGTTGTGGTCTCCAAATTGTTGTGAAGTGGTGGAAGGAAGATTGTCTGAAATCAGAAGGAAAGTTGCAATGTTGGATGTGATGGGTGTGGCTTGTAACAGAGGCACAGTGAACTGAAGAGGCTGGTAACTTGAGATGTGTGCAGATGTGCTTTTTGTTTATTCTTATATGACTTAGTTAAGCTGACAGCAATTTTCTGTGTTCATTTAGTGTTTCTCACAGATAAAATCATGCATAAGCAAAGGTGAAATTCTCTTTATGCTCACATCGTTCTCTAATAAACCAAGTGCATTGAAACAAATTTGCATTTTCAAAATAAGTATTATAGCAGAACAGACTATACTAATTTGTTATCCCACCAATTTTGCTGCAATTTTAACATCGTGCTAGATTTTAAAGCTTTTATATGGTAATTTTTCTGATTTGTTTTTAACCAAATGCATTTAGAATACTAATTTGGTGCAGTCTTACAGATATAACTCCAACATAATAGGCATTGGATATGTTATTTTAAAATAAATTAACAGAAGAAAACCCTAAAACCTGGAAAGGGAGTTTGTACTTAGGTAGAGCAGTGCCTTTGATACCAGATTAAAGTTTCAACTTTCAGAAGGCAACCAAAAGTCAGTATTTTGTTGTTGTTGTTGTTGTCGTCGTTGTTAACGGAGAGATGAAAGACCAGAAGAGGAAGAAAGGCCAAGGAGGAGGCCATAGGAAGAGTGTAGGTTGGAGATTATATGGCTACCATCCAGTGTGGTAGCAGTAAGAACAGAAAAGAAAGTATAAATGTAAGGGTTTTGTTAGCAGTAGGATTTGTCTTCTGATTAAATGATAAAGAAGATGTGAAATGTTTGTCAAAGATTACTCGAAAGTATTATCCTGAGTGGCTAAAAAATAATGATCCTAGAAAAAAACATTGATGATCAAGAAGAAGAGTGGTATGAGTGGGTGGAGAAGGTATTCCTGAAATGATGAGTTTAGTTTGAAAAGAAGCCTGACTGAGTGCCCAGATTGAGCATTAAGAAAAATTCTGATTAATCAGTAGTGGGATCCTTGACAGTTATTTCTCTGGCTTTCAGTTTTCTCACCTGTAAAATAAATATTGAACTATTAGTGACTGCTGAAGTTTCTTCCAGCTTTGAAACAATGCTGTGTGTTTTGTTTTATTTAAACTTTATTACTGTTTCTTCATGATTGCTCTCTAGTGACCTTTTATGAAGACTTTGGTTTATAATGAAGTGAGGATAAAATGCTCAGTCCTGAGTCTGTTGGAGATGAAACTTTCCTGACTCCTGAAACTCTTGATGTGACACTGGAGTGCCACAACTGCTATCTCACTTTATCTTTTTTCTGCCAAAGGAAGCTTCCTGCAGATCAAAATTGGGAGCAAGGAGAATTGGATGTGTAAAGCCAAACTTGGAAAAAGCATTCTGCAGTTTTTCTTAATACAAACTTTTGGGGCTCTTATTGTTATTTGCTGTCAGGAACCCCAATAAATTATTTGGAAAGAAAGAAATTGAATATAAATATAATGTTATAGGAGTGCATATATAGATATATAATAAGTATAATCTAGGAGAGGTGCATCATAGGTGCAGGCTTTGGAATTAGACAGCTTGGGTTCAAATATTAGTTTTATTACTCTATTAACTGTGTAACCTTAGGTAAACAGAAATGAAAAACTTGATTTTGGAGGAGGATTTCATTTCTTTTTGTGTAAAATGGAAATAGTAATGCTAAGTATCAGAATTGTTGTGAGGATTAGAGAGAATGTTTATAAAGAACAAAGTACACAACCTGATACTTAATAAACAGTAACCTTTATCAGTTACCAGGTAATAGTTATTGTTATATGAGCACTTGGTAAAAACTTTTTCAAAATCTTACCTGTATTAAACACTTACCCTACTTTCCCCGCTTGTAATCAGAAGCTCGTGTGCATGTGTGTCATGATGGGTTCTCTGATATTCAGTTTTTTGGCAGCTTAAATGATTTGACAAAACTAAAGAATTATTTTAAGAAGAGTGTCAATGTATTTAATTCTTAGATAGAATAATGATCTTTAAGAGATGAGACTAGTCTGTAAAAAATTCATTTTTAAAAGTAAGAATCTTCAGCCTAATTATCTGCTAGATAGGACAAAATAATAGAATCAACATTCTTACAGATTTTTGTTTACACTGCCTCCTTTAAAAGATGCCAAATATTGTGGATATTAAAGAGTGATTACTAGTATATTATTTATATTACATATTGTTTCCTTTTATAAATTTATTTAAATATTTCCAAGAAATAGTATAAAACTAGGTACTATTTAATATCTCTTACACTTTTGCCTTAAGTGAAAACACATGGATAATGCTAATGATATGGTAAAACTGTTATGTCTGTAGAACTCATATTTTATTTCTGAAACAATAAAAATACATTTTAAACCGTGAAGGCAGATTACTGCTGGAAATTCACAGTCTTTAAGGAATAAACCATGTACATGTTGACTATGAACAGACTAGTCTATGTTTACTATATTAAGTTTTCACAAAGTTATAAAGATTCAGTATATTATCCTTTTGGAAATTTAAAAATAGTAAAACACATTCTTTTTAAGAGTAGGAACAGTGTACTTGAAGCAACAAATTTACGATTGCAGTTAGAGTTGAAGATTATGTATCAGTTTAATCCTTGCTTCTCCGATTGCTGTGTACCCTTTTCTACACCCGTTTTTTTTGTTTTGTTTTGTTTTGTTTTTTAAACTTCTTAAAGTCTGTGCTCTATTACATTGATTCTTTTTCCTGTTTCAGGAAGAATAAATGAATAGTTTTTTTTTATTAATGACAATGTAGGCTTCTGCATACCTGCCTTTATCTATTCTTTACCTGCCTATACGCAACACTTGCCTATGCAAGTATTCATTTACTGAAAAAGTTACCAACTTTATAGCCTTGAAATCATTTTAAAAATATGTTAACTGACTTGGATACTCTGGTTACAAACAAAATGCAGACCTTCTACTTGAGAGAATTTGTTTTTACCTTTAATGAAAAGAATACATATTTGGTTGTACTTTAAACACTACTTATTTTCACATAGTAATTACTTTATATCGTTTTCAAAGCAAGTGCATCTTTGTATGCATGTGATATATCCTGTTCTTTTCCTGAAAAGATTAGGTTACAATTAAAATAATTCAAAGATCATTGGGAGGTATTACATTAAACTGTGGGTTGGATCTTGTCTTTTGTCTTGTTCAAACTGCATCTCTTCTTTTATTTTTTTCAGTCTGAAGATAGTAGCATGATTACAGCATGAATGTAAGCCATGTGGTGGCTGAGAGAGAGAAGGCAGAGATGGATGACTTCAGAGGAAATAACTGTTTGACAGGAGACTGAACTGGGAGAGGGTGTGAACCAAAGTCAAGGTCACAGAGGGAAGAGAACAGGCTGGATTCATGGGTGTGCATCCTGTACAGTCACACAGGGCTCAGCTTTTTTAACATTCTGCTGTTGCCATCTTGAAATTCTTCCTTCCTTCCTTCCTTCCTTCCTTCCTTCCTTCCTTCCTTCCTTCCTT